ATTGTACTAGTGGTATATTGATTCTACGTTGTGATGTTGATTACCAGACCTGGTGATCCGACCCAGACGACGCTATGAGCTCTCGCGTGTGGCCCGATTGGCAGATCGATTGCGGAGTCAGCGTACAATCTCATCGGTTCCTACGAAGCCGGCTACAGCCGAGTCTACCGCTATATTGTAGCTGATGCAGTGGCTACTCAAGAGGCTACAGAAGAAGCGCTCCTCATGGTGTGGCTACACCGGAGACTACAGAAGAAGCGGTAGATGCTACGGCGGATACTACAGAAGAAGCTCTCCGCGTGATGAGGTTACACCAAAGATTACAGAAGAAGGGACAGAGGCTACGACGGAGGCTACCGATAAAAGCGGCAGGAATGAAGCGGCAGTGCCAGAGGCTACAGAGCAAAGCGGAGGCTGCCAAAATGGCGAAGATGACCCACGGCTGGCGCGAACATTGAAGAGCGTGCGCATGTAGAGGAAGAAGTAGACGTTGGCATGAATATCATATATTGTCCTGTTTCGTACAAGAGGAACTGTGTGTAGTGCGTGTCATTACGGGCTATTGAGCATGCAAGCTCCCTGGTGTTGTCAGAGAGAAAATCGTAACAAGCTTGTTAGGTGGGCTAAAGAAATCTAATGATGCGCTAATGTCAAGCACAAGGAAGAATTCGCCCAGTTCCACCTCACTACGTCAGTTAGGACGGGAAGATTTCTTCCTCCGCGTTTATCGCGACGTGCCGAAGATGGGTGGCTGGAGCCGAAGTATGCTGCCTTAGCAGCCTTGCAAGGTATTACCATGTAGCAGGTTTTGAGCGTGCTTTACGCTCGCCACGACCAATAGAAGCTCGCCATTTCGGCATATGGTGGATACATTGAGCATGTTTTGTTCACTTTCGTAGCTGTTCTGTGCACAATGTACCCAGCGCTTGACCGCAAGATGCGAAAGGGCTTCCAACAGCAAATCTTTGACAGGTTTTGAAGTATACTTTAATCAAGTCTAATGCTTATTCTGTAGATACAGAATAAGGTCTGGGGCTAGAAGGGTTAAGAGCATGCACGCTATCTGGAGAAGTTTTCGTCATGAAGAATGGCACAGGAATTCCGCCGCCGCCGCAAAAAAACGTATCTAACGATATAAAGCGTATCTAACGGTAAAAAAAATCGTATCTGAATATTTTATACTGGGATAAGAAGCGACGAAGTGCTGATAGCCCAGCCCAAACAGGATTAATTCGGGTCCGCCATGTCTTAGGTCAATTTACAGTAAGTGATGTCGATTGACCAAGTGTTTTAGACTTCTCAAGATGGATGGAGGCTGGTCCAGTTCATTTTCAAATTTGTCGAGTCAAGATTCGTTAGTTGTACGTAGCAGCTTTAGCGCTGCGAGTGAGTGGCAAAGAGACAGGAAGACACTTGTCGATTGTAGAGTAAAACTCAGAGTGATTCATTCAACACATGCCTACAACGCATGACTCCTATACGTGCCGTACACGAGGAGGAAAGCATGAGCCTAAAACCCCCTTTGACCATACAACCCATCAATCAGGCTTGTAGGCCGACTCCTAGCATCCAGCTAGCACACGACCAGGACATGAGTGACTACGCGAGAGTAGAGTACGACCGCGTCCGATCTCTAACTCTCATACTCCCCCGGAACTCATATCCTGGCCTCCAACTCGATTATGCCGAGCTGGCAGGCATGCATGTGCAACCGCCTCAACTACGTCCTCGACTCCAAGCAGCTCCCTCAGCCTTTCAAATCGCTGTGGTCCGAGCTCCTTGGTAAACATGTCTACCATGTTGTCTGCCGTAGGAACTAGTTCAGCGACAATTCTTTTAGCCTCGACAAGCTCAGCAATTTTGAGACTCATCTTTGCTAGCCGCTTCACACCGTCATAGTTTCCGACGTGCTCACACACTTTTAGCGTGCTCTGATTATCACAATGCAGCTCCGGGACCATTGGCTTCATGCCTATCTCCGTGAGCAGATTCTGCGCCCACAGTAGGTCCTCGACGCTCTTATTGGCTGCAACCAGTTCCGACTTACACGTATCATCCGTGATACGATCCTGCTTCTTGCTCTAGAAGCCGAAGCTGTAGCCATTCAGTTGGAGCACATATCCCGTAACTGTCGATTTCCGCTGCTTGTTGCTTGAGGTGCTTGTTGATTGCAAGTTAAAATGCAAAGTGAGAGACTGCATGAAGCAGAAGCTCTTTGCTCTACAACCTAGCTCTACAGAGGCTGCATCTAATGGTTGGCTCTAACCAACAAAACTACCAGAGTAAACTTCGAGTAATCGCTGCAGGCAACAAGAGCCAGAGTAATCCTGAATAATCACCACACTGCCCCCCTAAGGATACGCTGGAGCTTCAACTTGGCCACTGACTCAGTGTCCAGCTGCAGGTCACTGGCCGAGAGCTGCGAACGCCGCTTGAAATGCTTCGTCTTCGCAGGTCTGGACGTAGGCAGCAACGGGCACATGAACTTGAGCTGCCAAGCTCTCAAGGGACTCCCATGACACGAGTAGCTGCCAAATACCATCGATGTGACGGTGTTGTTTGATTGTTTCAATGCCGAGAACCATGCTGTGGAGTAGCGCCCTCGCAGAAATCTCGCGAATGCGATCTCGCACAAACTCGGCGCGTCTGGATAGCGGTCGCGCCGAGCGACTTATTCCCGGTTGTTGGAGTAGGGTATCTTCGAAATACAGGCCCAAGTCTTCGCAGGCTTCAGAGTTGGGGGGGGGGGGGGTTCTTGTGTTGACGCTTGTTCCTTGTCGTAGGGCGTCGAGCCTTGGGCGTGCGGCGTTATCGGGCCGGCGTTCCCGTCGTGCGGCGTTATCAGGCCGGCGTTTCCTGGGGCTTGTGTGGCGTTATCGTGCCTACACGGGGGGTCTTGTGCACGGCGGTTATCAGGCCAGTGCGGTCCTTCGCCTAGGCAGCGCGTTATCGGGCGCCCACCTAAACGGTATACGTTTAACGTGCCTTTGTTCCAGCACGGGTCTGTGGGGGGAGGGGGGGGGGGTGAGCACCCGAACCAACAAACGACGGGGGGCCGCGATATCGAGGCGGCTCTACTTGCCGGCGCTTGGTGGTTCCCCTGGACCTCGAAGAAGACGGGAGGTCTTTGTGGTTCAGAGAAATTTCGGGACTGAATCCTTACCCTATCCTATGTCCTTGCTACCGGCTACTCTGTACTACTGCTTGCTAAGCCTACCGCTCTGTACCTATCATTACTTCTGTCGTGCTTGCACTACCGTCCTTCAACCTGATTTGCGTGGCATAATCAAGATCTTACCTCGGCGCGTTTTGGTCGGCGGGGTTTAGGGTCGGCGCGTTTTGGTCGGCGGGGTTTAGGGTCGGCGCGTTTTGCAGAACCGGGCGCACTGTTCGACCCGTCGGATGATTACGCGTCGCACTGGATTCTGGCACCGTGTCTCACAGCCCATCACCCACGCCGACTTTCCGTCGAGCTCGGCCCTGCGTCGCGCCCATTAATCCGCGTCGAGGTCCACCACTCGCGTCCCGGCGCCTTCTTCCTCCGGCGCCCGGCGCGCCCACTTCTTCCGCGGGGTACTACACCACAATGCCTTGATTGTCAACATGAGCGAGCAGTTCTTCATCCACATCGAGGCTAGCATCCGCGTAGAACTTCAGACGCGAGCCGTGGACCGTGTAATGCTGGTTCGTGACAAGGTGTCGTATGTCGAACAAGTGGGGTGCGGTGTTGACCACCTCGAACGGACCGACCCATCGGGCGAGAAGCCTGTCCACAGACAAGCGAGAGTCGATTCGCGACCAAAGGACGAAATCTCCTACGCTGAAGTTGCACTCAACGCCCTTGGAGCGCGCCATGTTCTGCAGCCGGTGCTTCTCGCTAGTTCAGCGACAATTCTTTTAGCCTCGACAAGCTCAGCAATTTTGAGACTCATCTTTGCTAGCCGCTTCACACCGTCATAGTTTCCGACGTGCTCACACACTTTTAGCGTGCTCTGATTATCACAATGCAGCTCCGGGACCATTGGCTTCATGCCTATCTCCGTGAGCAGATTCTGCGCCCACAGTAGGTCCTCGACGCTCTTATTGGCCGCAACCAGTTCCGACTTACACGTATCATCCGTGATACGATCCTGCTTCTTGCTCTAGAAGCCGAAGCTGTAGCCATTCAGTTGGAGCACATATCCCGTAACTGATCTCCCTGTGTCGATTTCCGCTGCTTGTTGCTTGAGGTGCTTGTTGATTGCAAGTTAAAATGCAAAGTGAGAGACTGCATGAAGCAGAAGCTCTTTGCTCTACAACCTAGCTCTACAGAGGCTGCATCTAATGGTTGGCTCTAACCAACAAAACTACCAGAGTAAACTTCGAGTAATCGCTGCAGGCAACAAGAGCCAGAGTAATCCTGAATAATCACCACACTGCCCCCCTAAGGATACGCTGGAGCTTCAACTTGGCCACTGACTCAGTGTCCAGCTGCAGGTCACTGGCCGAGAGCTGCGAACGCCGCTTGAAATGCTTCGTCTTCGCAGGTCTGGACGTAGGCAGCAACGGGCACATGAACTTGAGCTGCCAAGCTCTCAAGGGACTCCCATGACACGAGTAGCTGCCAAATACCATCGATGTGACGGTGTTGTTTGATTGTTTCAATGCCGAGAACCATGCTGTGGAGTAGCGCCCTCGCAGAAATCTCGCGAATGCGATCTCGCACAAACTCGGCGCGTCTGGATAGCGGTCGCGCCGAGCGACTTATTCCCGGTTGTTGGAGTAGGGTATCTTCGAAATACAGGCCCAAGTCTTCGCAGGCTTCAGAGTTGGGGGGGGGGGGTTCTTGTGTTGACGCTTGTTCCTTGTCGTAGGGCGTCGAGCCTTGGGCGTGCGGCGTTATCGGGCCGGCGTTCCCGTCGTGCGGCGTTATCAGGCCGGCGTTTCCTGGGGCTTGTGTGGCGTTATCGTGCCTACACGGGGGGTTTTGTGCACGGCGGTTATCAGGCCAGTGCGGTCCTTCGCCTAGGCAGCGCGTTATCGGGCGCCCACCTAAACGGTATACGTTTAACGTGCCTTTGTTCCAGCACGGGTCTTTGGGGTGAGGGGGGGGGGGGGGTGAGCACCCGAACCAACAAACGACGGGGGGCCGCGATATCGAGGCGGCTCTACTTGCCGGCGCTTGGTGGTTCCCCTGGACCTCGAAGAAGACGGGAGGTCTTTGTGGTTCAGAGAAATTTCGGGACTGAATCCTTACCCTATCCTATGTCCTTGCTACCGGCTACTCTGTACTACTGCTTGCTAAGCCTACCGCTCTGTACCTATCATTACTTCTGTCGTGCTTGCACTACCGTCCTTCAACCTGATTTGCGTGGCATAATCAAGATCTTACCTCGGCGCGTTTTGGTCGGCGGGGTTTAGGGTCGGCGCGTTTTGCAGAACCGGGCGCACTGTTCGACCCGTCGGATGATTACGCGTCGCACTGGATTCTGGCACCGTGTCTCACAGCCCATCACCCACGCCGACTTTCCGTCGAGCTCGGCCCTGCGTCGCGCCCATTAATCCGCGTCGAGGTCCACCACTCGCGTCCCGGCGCCTTCTTCCTCCGGCGCCCGGCACGCCCACTTCTTCCGCGGGGTACTACACCACAATGCCTTGATTGTCAACATGAGCGAGCAGTTCTTCATCCACATCGAGGCTAGCATCCGCGTAGAACTTCAGACGCGAGCCGTGGACCGTGTAATGCTGGTTCGTGACAAGGTGTCGTATGTCGAACAAGTGGAGTGCGGTGTTGACCACCTCGAACGGACCGACCCATCGGGCGAGAAGCCTGTCCACAGACAAGCGAGAGTCGATTCGCGACCAAAGGACGAAATCTCCTACGCTGAAGTTGCACTCAACGCCCTTGGAGCGCGCCATGTTCTGCAGCCGGTGCTTCTCGCTAGTTCAGCGACAATTCTTTTAGCCTCGACAAGCTCAGCAATTTTGAGACTCATCTTTGCTAGCCGCTTCACACCGTCATAGTTTCCGACGTGCTCACACACTTTTAGCGTGCTCTGATTATCACAATGCAGCTCCGGGACCATTGGCTTCATGCCTATCTCCGTGAACAGATTCTGCGCCCACAGTAGGTCCTCGACGCTCTTATTGGCCGCAACCAGTTCCGACTTACACGTATCATCCGTGATACGATCCTGCTTCTTGCTCTAGAAGCCGAAGCTGTAGCCATTCAGTTGGAGCACATATCCCGTAACTGATCTCCCTGTGTCGATTTCCGCTGCTTGTTGCTTGAGGTGCTTGTTGATTGCAAGTTAAAATGCAAAGTGAGAGACTGCATGAAGCAGAAGCTCTTTGCTCTACAACCTAGCTCTACAGAGGCTGCATCTAATGGTTGGCGCTAACCAACAAAACTACCAGAGTAAACTTCGAGTAATCGCTGCAGGCAACAAGAGCCAGAGTAATCCTGAATAATCACCACACTGCCCCCCTAAGGATACGCTGGAGCTTCAACTTGGCCACTGACTCAGTGTCCGGCTGCAGGTCACTGGCCGAGAGCTGCGAACGCCGCTTGAAATGCTTCGTCTTCGCAGGTCTGGACGTAGGCAGCAACGGGCACATGAACTTGAGCTGCCAAGCTCGCAAGGGACTCCCATGACACGAGTAGCTGCCAAATACCATCGATGTGACGGTGTTGTTTGATTGTTTCAATGCCGAGAACCATGCTGTGGAGTAGCGCCCTCGCAGAAATCTCGCGAATGCGATCTCGCACAAACTCGGCGCGTCTGGATAGCGGTCGCGCCGAGCGACTTATTCCCGGTTGTTGGAGTAGGGTATCTTCGAAATACAGGCCCAAGTCTTCGCAGGCTTCAGAGTTGGGGGGGGGGTTCTTGTGTTGACGCTTGTTCCTTGTCGTAGGGCGTCGAGCCTTGGGCGTGCGGCGTTATCGGGCCGGCGTTCCCGTCGTGCGGCGTTATCAGGCCGGCGTTTCCTGGGGCTTGTGTGGCGTTATCGTGCCTACACGGGGGGTATTGTGCACGGCGGTTATCAGGCCAGTGCGGTCCTTCGCCTAGGCAGCGCGTTATCGGGCGCCCACCTAAACGGTATACGTTTAACGTGCCTTTGTTCCAGCACGGGTCTGTGGGGGGAGGGGGGGGGGGGGTGAGCACCCGAACCAACAAACGACGGGGGGCCGCGATATCGAGGCGGCTCTACTTGCCGGCGCTTGGTGGTTCCCCTGGACCTCGAAGAAGACGGGAGGTCTTTGTGGTTCAGAGAAATTTCGGGACTGAATCCTTACCCTATCCTATGTCCTTGCTACCGGCTACTCTGTACTACTGCTTGCTAAGCCTACCGCTCTGTACCTATCATTACTTCTGTCGTGCTTGCACTACCGTCCTTCAACCTGATTTGCGTGGCATAATCAAGATCTTACCTCGGCGCGTTTTGGTCGGCGGGGTTTAGGGTCGGCGCGTTTTGCAGAACCGGGCGCACTGTTCGACCCGTCGGATGATTACGCGTCGCACTGGATTCTGGCACCGTGTCTCACAGCCCATCACCCACGCCGACTTTCCGTCGAGCTCGGCCCTGCGTCGCGCCCATTAATCCGCGTCGAGGTCCACCACTCGCGTCCCGGCGCCTTCTTCCTCCGGCGCCCGGCGCGCCCACTTCTTCCGCGGGGTACTACACCACAATGCCTTGATTGTCAACATGAGCGAGCAGTTCTTCATCCACATCGAGGCTAGCATCCGCGTAGAACTTCAGACGCGAGCCGTGGACCGTGTAATGCTGGTTCGTGACAAGGTGTCGTATGTCGAACAAGTGGGGTGCGGTGTTGACCACCTCGAACGGACCGACCCATCGGGCGAGAAGCCTGTCCACAGATCGATTCGCGACCAAAGGACGAAATCTCCTACGCTGAAGTTGCACTCAACGCCCTTGGAGCGCGCCATGTTCTGCAGCCGGTGCTTCTCGCGCTGGTCGATCACCTCCCTGTGCATGGCTGCCAAACTGTCAGGCAAAGTTGCAAGTCGCTCCGCCGGCAGTCCATCCGAAGGTACCAGCATCTCAACGTTCTTGCCATGCTCTAGAAGGATTGGTTCCAATGGCGTTGGTCTTGGCAGTCCAGTAAAGAGCTCGCTCGGCGACTTATCGCCCAACGACTGCACGGGCGTGTGGTTCAAGTTGCCTTGAACAAGAGGTAGTAAGTAGACCCACTCACGAGTGTCCAGCTTGTACTCCATAAGCAGGACGCGAACAACTTGCAGTACATCGCGGTTCAGACGCTCAATTGTACCGTTAATCCACGGCGCGTAAGCTACCACAAGACTCTGTTCAATGTCCAGCGTTTCGCACACTTGGCGGATCACCTCACACTTGAAGTGGCTGCCCTGGTCTGATACGAGCACAGAGGGGGCGCCAAAGCGCTCCCACCAGTCCAGCATTGCACTCGCAGCAACGGTACTCGTAGGTGAATCGCACGCTACAAGCTCACAAAAGTGAGTGAGGCCGTCTTTCAGTACCAACACATACTTGTGACACGAGGCGACTTGAAATTTTGGAGAGTGTCCGCGCAGCTGGCCCCGGTGCCGATCCAGGGAGAGCGAGGAAAGAAAGGTCGATTCAGGATGGTGTACCTGTGGAACGCCCGAGCATGATGGAGGAGATGTGGAGTATGGATACCTGGTCGCGTTTGACCTCAACTGGCCGGAGGTGCGCAGCACCCAGTCCGGCCCCGACCTAGTCTGACGAAGGGAGACCGTGAACGTATCCCAGAGAGCTACCCTTCTTGACGAGGCCAAGGCATCCCAAGGTACTTCGAATCCCCGGCAGCCCGAGTGTGAAGCTACTCAAGTGTACCAAGCCATCGACACCCTGAACTGTACCACCACCGTGTTGAAGACGAACATCCAGGATACTGCGACTACGAAGACCCCGAGTGTGACCCGACAATGAGTTGAGGACCTCAAGCAGCGAGACCAAGTGGACACTGAAGCTCGTGGAGTCGACGGCAGCCTGGATGGACAACCGACAGCTCGAATGGAATGCAACTACCCCGAATGGCGGATGGCCATCCTGAATGGACAACGCCCGGAGTGCCCAAGTGCCGATCATCCTGAATGGACCAACACTGCCCTGAATGGAGAAGCCCCAAGCCACCGTTGCTATCTGCCAATGGACCGACGCCCAGGAACGTGCCAAGTCAGCGAAGTCAGCGACCAAGGTGCCAGTTCCGAGCGTGACTTGGTTTCACTATGGAGAGTGAGCCAGTCTGAGTTCGATGTGTCAGCAGTGCAGCAGATCCCCAGGTCAGGCACCCGAGTCCCTCCGACATCAAGTGATCGCGACGCGACGCCCGGGTATACTGAAGCCAAGAGAACCCGAACAAGTGTATGAAGATATGAGCAGAGGAGACCGCGTGAAGAATCCAGCGGCCCTAAAGGTAACAAGACCATACGAAGAAGAAGAGAAGTATACAACGAAGAAGAGAGAGATACAAATAGAAGAGAGATAGCCAAAGAGAGAGAGAGAAGAGGATAAAGATCAACAGAGTTTGTTTTGCGTTCAAGTGCACAAGTGCCTGGTTCGTAATTCGCCTAAGGACAGCCGCCGCCCACGGGAGAGTGTACCGCCTAGGAGCCCACGAGAGGGTGTACCATTCGGAGCCCCGCTGCGAGCGTTGAGTAACGCCTGGTCCAAGGCCCTCGAAAACTTCTCACTACATCATCAAGCCAAGTCCGGTACCCAAAAGTATTGCCCAATCGGGTTGGTACACCTGTTTCATTTCCCAGTTGTGGCGTACACTCTCAGTGTGCGCTTGTATTTCATATTCCCTGTGTTTTAGGAGGTTGTGGCAATTGACACGATGTGGGAAAGGATTTTTATCCGCACTCATGTCTGACAGCTGGGATGGGACGACCCTTCGCCTGACTGTGACTGGTCGCAGGGAACAGGAATCCAGTGACGTGGGGTGTGACCTGTGGATAGTGGATGCGCATGGTGGATTTGGCGGGACCCGGTGCTTGCAGTAAGCATGGGCTCACAGGATCGGAGATGTGCCCACCGGATGAGCGCTCATATTCGGTGTGGAGTAACACATCCTGTCCGTCCGCCGACTTCCCTGACCGCAGGATAAGCCTAAGGCGCGCAAGTGCAGCCAGTGAACGTATCCTGGCTGCTGCCTGCATTGGCTCCGTCAAGACATCGGACCAACCCCCAAGTTCACCATGCCCACCATGCTCCCATGCGCCCAAGACCTCGCTGGACAAAGTACACTGTTTGCCGGACTGGATCGTGGTGCACCCGGTAGCGACGCACCGGGTGCCAAGGTGCCGTACCGAATGAGGCCGGACCGGATGATCAATTCGGTCTGACCCCTGGTGCCCATACTGGATCGTGACCGCACCAACAACAAGTCCAGTACTGCTGTGTGTGTATCAGCAATCCAGGACCGGATCGACCAAGAACGTCAAGCGACACATGATGGCTCACGTGATTAGACGCAGAGGTCCAGTGCGGATTTGATGAGACGCCGTACCACGTACCTCTGTCGCCAGATGATGAGTGTTGCCGAAGGAACGTTGACGTCGACAAGTTGCCCGATAACCAAGCCAAGTCAAGCATATCCAAGCTCAGTGCAAGAAGATCGAAGTCTCGTGCACAAGGTAGAAGCATATCCAAGTCAAGTCAAGTATAGTGAAACCTTTATTAGAAGTCAGTGAAGTGAAACAGATAGCTAGCCAAACGTATGATCAAACAGAAACCAATTTGCCGGACGTCTTTCTTCGGGCTGGGAATTCCCCCTGACATTGACGTCTTCAAGAGCTTATACGTGGGGTCCGCCTTCGTGCGATTTTAAAACGGAGGACGTTTCAAGGCTTCACTGGTGTTGCGAGCACTGGTGTAGTGGGGACTCAAAGGTACCAAGGCAAAGTCGGCAGGGACTGGGGTGTCGCGCCCTGGAGTTATCTGTGAGAGCTTTATTTCCAATTTGCGTGCTCTATCCGGGCATCCATTTCATATTCCCTAATGTGTGTCTTAGGCGGTAGAGGTAGTCACCCCCGAGACTGAATTGATTGACTACTGTGTGATAGGATTAACTTATATTTTGTATTGTCCCCTCACTCTACTCTGTGAGGGTGGTGCGCGTAAGTGAGTGTGCATCCAGGGTTGACCAGTGCCTTGGGTGACGGCTCGTAAGTTGACTGGCGTATAGACCCCCCACCCAAGGGTCTTAAAGAATAAGTGGTGGCTGTATATTTTGTGACGTTTAGCTCGGCATTGTATTTATGTGTGTTGGTTATACTGAATTGTGGATCTGACTGTGTCCCTTCGATTCGGTCTGACTTTCTGTTCATTCGGTGTAGTTTGTTTCAGGAACACACCCAGCAGAGTCGATTCTGTATTTACAACAACTCACTCGGTGAAGTCCGGTCCGCTAAAGGTAAACGATACCTATAGGGGTTGACACAAGGACACACGCCAAGTCCAAGCGATCCTCCCAGCCCCCGGTTCACATCCTGTGCTCCGAGGACTATCGGATTACAGCGGATATCTCTGGTACTCCGAACCGATTCGGTCCGGCATAGTGCGCTATACACCTGGACGAGTAAGGCGTTCACCCGCCTCGCCTCAGCTGGTGCGCGTGCTCGGATTTGGTTGCCTAGGATTTCACCGCGAGTTGTTTGTTTGTATATTGGTTTGGTCTTAAGGGGTGTTTCTACCGACTGCCTGGACTAATAGTTTGGTTATGGCTGGAAGGAAGGAAGCACGTGAACGTGGACGCGGAGGCGGACGCGGTGAGGCGTCTCGTCAGTCGTGTCGAGGACAAGGGCTGCCGCCGGAGGAGCACAAGGCCCTGGACGACGTTGTCCGGGAGGCTCGGAAGGCTGGCGCGGAGAAGCGCAAGGCGGCCCTGGAAGAGAAGAAGGCGTCGGCGGCCGATCAAGATCAAGCGGCCCCGGAATCCTCCGTTCTGGATGCGCACCAAGCAAATCAGGATGAGGCTCCGGAGGCGGACTCGACCGAGTCTGTGCCGGCCGGCACCGAATGTGTCCCAGACCTGGTGACGGGACTGGATCAGGGTGAGTCCGCACAGGATGATGAACCCGCCCAGGCGTCTGTGGGAGGCGCCGATGAGGTTGAGTCCCCGGCTGAGGATCGAGTTTCGGACTCTCCCTAGCCGGATGACGAAGTCGAGATTCTGGACGAAGCCCCGACGATCAAGCATGAAGGCCCGCTGTCGACTGTCCAAGAAGACGGCGTACTGAATGACGAAGCCGACACCCGGTCTGCGCCCGCGCAATCCGGTCCGGCCGCGACCGCTCAAGCTCCCGCGCTCAAGATGGAAGCCCAATCCAGTCTGGCGCCCTCGGATTCGCGAGGACCCGACAAGACCAAGGCTCAAGTGAGCGAGGCTCAGGCGAAGGTGTACGTGGCCGAACACGTGCGTCGCTGGGAGCAGCATCGTGAACGCGCTGCCGTCCCGCTCAAGGTGGAGTACGCCTGGCCCGAGCCGGCACCCGACTTCACTGAATAGTGGACTGCCGCGCTGGCGA